TTCCCCCCCCCCCCCCCCCCTTTTCCTTCGTTTGGTATGTTTTTCTTTGGGCATCGTCATCGGCAGCCAAGAAACCTACCGATGGGCGATGGCACTTATGATGCCGTACAGGCGGCCGATATCGGCGTCTGTCGATGCATCGGTACAGTCCTACAAGGTACCCATAGTTGAAATCACTTGGCGATCGACTGAGGTTACCAAAATCCAATGTCATTCGTGACAACATTCCCTCTGCCAGTTGAGAAAGCAAACGCATTCTAGGTACGAGGCTGAAACTATGAAAATTGCTCTGGATTTGTTTGGAACATATTGCACTTTCAGAGTAAGGAACTGGATTTCTTCATCCTCACAAACGCGGACGACATCGACTGCACGCCTTGCATTGTGCCGCAGCCTTATTCAAACGGCGGGTGTCATACCAGGTAAGTCCAAAGACAAGCAGCGAAGTGCAATGTGGTTTATGGTGACGGCAGGGACAAACGCCGAAAAAACTTGGAGAGGAATCAAACCGGATGCACGATGATGTACGCATTTAATTGTCAAGGTTTCGTTAGGGTCAGCCGCGAAAGAAAAGACAGATGAGCCGAGGAATCAGCATTTGCCTTGATGACGGACTCTGAGTCTGGGGTTCTTGCATTGTGCCACCTGGAAGGCGCACACGTTCGGGTACGTTTGGAAGTCAGAGCCGCAGACCGGACGGTATTCATAGGTGCAATCCTTCTCGCACCGACCTGTAAAAGAAGTCAGGAGAAAAGTCAGGGATTTTGCAATTACAGCATCGATCAGTTGACGACTGCAGAATCAATCAGACTATTTTTCTCCATGCAGTTTTCTTTTTTTTTTTGCATAAATTTTTTTTGGCATGCTGCTGTGTGCGTCTTGGGCGAAAGTGCAAATCACTTCAAGGAAATTTTTCATATGTGAGAAGCATGGAATGAGGAAATATTTTAAAGACGTGACTGCAGAACAGACGAAGCAATAGACTCTGCTTCAGTCTCTTCGTATTCTCCTCATGATATTTAGTCAGAGCTGGAAAAACGTTTTATTGACGCTTTTGCCAGTGACGTGCATGGCACATATTTTGAGTAGTTGACCAATGGAAAGAGATACAATAGACACAAAAGCGGTACATAATGAAGTCCCATCACATATTTTTTAATATCGCAGCTATGATTTAAAAAAAAAAGAGGAAAAGCCTCTCTCCGTGACTTCCGGCAAAAGCTTCACCCCCATTTTCAATGAGAGAATCGTTCCTGAATTTCATGACTCATCGCTTTTTAAATAATTTTTTTGGGAAAGCAAGAGAGACCGAGGAACCAAACTCGATTCGAGTCGCTTGAACGAGGGATACTCAAAAGTGCACAAATTCCTCAGCTCAGAAAATAATACTTAGTGTTCTATTGCCTGCACGATCCCATATGTTTATTGCCAGTAGATGATGCCAATCCCTTCCTTTTCCACTTTTTTTAAAGAGCATCTTCCCAGTCATCTGTCATCTCTGAATCGGTTAGACCAGACGCCCTTCGTCACGGTTAAATTATCTCGAGGGGAAAAGTATGCATGAATACAGAGGAAACAGTGAACCCCATATATAATTTGATTATTTGGCACGTTGTATCTATCATCTGCCAGGAGAAAG